AAAAAAAAAAACCTACCTCACAGGGCTGCTATGAGGAGTAAATGAGTTAATAAGAGCAAAGAGCTTAGCATGGGGCTGGACATGAGTATGTCATAGTTTTTGCTGTTGTTATTATTATTGTTATTATTATTCACTCACTTCCAGCTCAGCCATTCTGAGAAGCCCAGGAGGTGAGAGAGCGGGTAGAGAGAGAAGCAATGGCAGAAGGCCCCAGAGGGTCAGCTCCTCTACATGGCCACAGACACGTCCAGGCAGGTCTGTCTCTCACAGCTGCAGCCACACGTGTGAACATGTTCCTAAAGAAGGCATGTGGGGCGAGATGGGCTTAGAGAAGACTCCAGCTTGGGGCCTTGCCACAACAGAAGGACCTGCAGGCAAGCCAGCAAATTGACGTGAGGCTCTCTGGTTTCACACCTGCCTCTGCTCTGACCCTCCCACCCTGAACCTGCCCTGCCAGCTCTCTTGATTCACTGGGAGAGAACCGCACCCAAGCTAGGGCTAAGGGTGGACGATGTAAACAAGAGTCTGCAGAAGACCACTTGAGGACCTGGGTGGAGGGCAGAAGGGAGACCAGGGGGACTTCGGGCTAGGATCTTTTAGTGTTTTGGGTTCACACAGCCCTTTGAGAATCTGATGAAAGCTAGGAACTCAGTACTCTCTAAATATAGGTACAAATGGGATAAAAGGTGGTGAAGGTTCATGATCCTTTAGGGTAGCCACAGACCCCAGACTAAGATATTTGGGGTAGCAAGTGCGCCTTTCCTGTGTTCTTATCCCAAAGTTCTTCAGATTCTGGGGTCACAGATTCCCCAGGGGATTCAAAAGAAACCATAGACCAGTGCTACAAAACTATGTGGGTACACATACACAGACTAAACTCAGTTGTACAACTTCAGAGGTTCCTGGATAGTGGTCCTGCATTGTAGACCCCAGGACTGGAGGCAGCTGAGAAAGGAGCAAATTAGTAGGGGGTGCGTGGAGTGGGTTAGCAACCTGGCTGATCAGAGGGAGGAGATCAGTGGATGGAAGAGGTGGCTAGAGAAGAAATTGCTGGTGAGTAACTCAGAGTAGCCTGGTAAAGAACTTCTTGAGCAGAGGACTAAAGGGTTTGGAGGTTATGGTTCAAGGGCAGGATGGGCCCCACTCACCCCAGACCTGTCCTCAGGATCGCTGGCACCTCCACCCCCGGTCACCACGTCATCCTCAGACTCGTCGAAAGAGGAGGCAGAGGAGAAGCCACCACTGCCTCCCTCCACCCTGGAGGGAAGTCCCACTGGCTGAGCCTCAGGCTCAGGAGTCTCAGGGGTGATGATGAGGCGGGGCACAGGGCACAGGGGGCTACACTTCAGGTGAGAGGATAGGTGAGCCACCAAATCCTCAGGCTCTGGTTTCTCTAATTGGCCATCATCAGGCTCTCCCAAAAGACAGTCAGTCCCAGGTGCTGTCTGGGGACCATCAGTGCCAGGCTGTGTCCAGGACCCATCAGTGTCTTGTTGTATTGGTAAACTATTCCTGCCAGGTTGTTTCCTGGCTATTTCAATATCCTGTTGTGTCTTGGAGCCATTAGTGTGTGACTCCGTCCTCGCACCTTCAGTATCCTGTTGTGTCCTAGAGCCATCAGTGTACAATCCTTTCCAGGAGCCGTCAGCACTTGGCTCTGGTGAGGGAAAGGCTCCCTCTGGGTGAGTCCGGAGGTTGGACCTGCCCTGATGGGTCCAGAGGTTATCAACCCAAGGCTCGACCCTTTCTGGCTGAGTTTGTGACCCCTGTGTTTCTAGGTCTGGCCAGGGCCTATCAACTCCTGGCTGTGTCCAAAGGCTGGCCCTCTCTGGCTGAGACTGGAGGTCTGAGCTGTACGGACCAGTCCAAAAGCCATCCGTCCCAATCTCCGTCCAGCGACTGGTTGTCTCAAATTCTGACCAGCGCCTTTCTGGATGTAACTGGAGGGTGGACCTTTCTGGCTCCTTCTTTTGACTGGGCCTCTCCGTCTCTGCTCCGAGGCCAGCTCCTTCAGGGCCAGTTTGCTCATCTATCCAGAATTCTGTCTGTGGACCATCTGTTGTTCCCGGCTCAGGCCCGAGGCCGGCCTTCTCCGCCTCAGTGTGGAAGTTGGACCCCTCGGTGCGGGCCCAGGGCCCGCCCCCCTCCGGCCGTCCCGCTGGGTCCCCTGCACAGGGCTCAAGTCGCTGCTGTCCTGGCTGCCGTCGCCGCCCTCCTCTCGGCGCCTCCAACCCCATGCGGGCCGCCGCGGGCAGCGCCCCGGCCTCTGCCTCACTCAGGCTCCCCCGGCACGGGCAGCGCCTCATGCCCACTCCTTCGGTTCAGGCTTCGGCAGACCGGGTCCCTCCTACCCCTTTAAATCCTGCGAGGGGTGTGGCTGGCGAGCCCCGAATCGCGGGTTCCGGGCCGCGGAGCTCCAGCCCGCCCCGCCACGCAAGGGTTAACCGATACTACCCCGCCCCCCGGATAGCCACGATCCCGCCCCCACAGGATGTGACATAACGGGGCGGAGCAAGACAGGTCCCTGTCTGACTCCGCCCATCGCCGTCGTAGTGAGTGACTTCTGAGAACTCAGATGTCCTGCAGGTTGGGTCTCGGGCACTGGGGTCTTGGTGGCTCACCAGTGGAGCCCCTCCCGACACCCTGTGACTAATCCAACTTCCTTCGCCCTCAAGTGGCCAGTTCAACCTCCCTAAAACTCCCGGTGACGAGTTCAGCCCGTCCCCATTGTTCACCCAGGAGAGGCACAGACATTCAAAGAGTTGGGGATCTCACAGGTGTGGATTCAAGACCTGCGTCTGCCACATCCCAGCTAAGTTACCTTGAGCGAGTGACTTAAGCTCCATTGAATTTTCCATAAGAAATCTCTCTCACAGGCGCGGTGGCTCATGCCTGTAATCCTAGCATTCTGAAGGCCAAGGCCGGTGGATTGCTTGAGTTCAGGAATTCCAGACCAGCCTGGCAAGAAAGAGACCCATCTATACTAAAAATAGGAAAACTGGCCGGGCGTTGTGGCAGGCGTCTGAAGTGCCAGCTACTCAGGAGGCTGAGTAAGGGGGATCACTTGAGCCCAAGAGTTTGAGGTTGCTGTAAGCTATGACGCCATTGCACTCTACCAAGGGCAATAAAGTGAAACTGTCT